AGGACCGAAGATTTCTTCTTTCATCGTGATTGATTCAGGATCTTCGGTCAGAATGATGGTAGGTTGTATGAAGTAGCCCTTCGAGTCATCACCTGTAGGATCATCAGAAAAGTCACAGGTGGGTCACACTATCAGCCCCACCGATGCCTCCGATAAGAACCTCCCCTCCCGCATCCTTGGCTTTCTGGACGAAGCCCATGATTTTGTCATAAGCCGGACGACCTCTGTGATATTTTTCAGTGACCGGTGCGCAGCCTGATCCATTGAAAGGGGACGCACATCACGGGTCCCATAAAGTTGCTGAAGTCTGATGGTGGCCCGACTTTGATCTTCGCAACCTCAGACAAGAGCAGATTCCTTGAATCCAGATGACCAAAGCGAAGAGGAAACATATAGCCGCGACAACGCAGAACATTTTTGTCCTGCGCAGACGCTTGTCAATCTTGCGCGCCACTCACACACATAATATGCGCACCTTGATACTCGAAGCCGCCCCGAACGCACTGCAAAACTGCATTGCGAATCTCTGCCGACTTGTGGATGACATGGAAGTTCTTCCCTCCTGTCTCACCAACAATTCTTGGATACCCTTTGTACTTGTCTAGGTTCGCAGCGATGTCTTTCCACAACTTCTTGAATACAAAGGTGCTACCCGTGAAATGAAGTGCTGTAAAGCTAGGGTGCGATATTGCCTGTGCGACGACTTCTGCAGGTGGGCCGGGAACGAACTGGATGACGCCGGGTGGGACGCCAGCCTCCGCGAGAATCTGGTAGACCAAGTAGTTGGAATATGTGGCCGCCGGTGAAGGTTTCCAGACGACTGTATTTCCGACGAGCGCGGGAGCTAAGAAATGACTCGCTCAGAACATAAAAATAGTGATAGAATAGTCGCTCGTACCACCTGGAAGGTTGCCACCGATTGCTGTGAAGTTGAATGGTGAAACCGCGAGAACAAATCCTTCCAGCGCACGATACTCGACGCGGCTATACAAGCATTAGAAGGAGCTTCATAGAATGGGTACTGGACTTACTTCCATGATCCTGCTGAGTTCTTAGGAGGTTGCTGTGCGTAGAGCTCCTCGACATATTTGACGCCGAAACGGAAAAAGTCCGAGAGCTACGAATGATGCATCAATCAACTGCCACCAAGGTAATTCCATCTTACACACCTCTGCGGCAGCATCTATCTCAGCCTGCCACGCGTTCTTCCCTTGACCAAGCATAGTAGCTGCCACCAACTTGTAGCGGTACTTGCCGCTGACAAGCTCTGCAGCACGCAGGAAGATGGCAGCGCGATCGTTCCAAGGCATAGCCTCCCACTCAGCCTTGGCAGAGAGAGCACCATCGATCGCGCTGGCTACAGTGGCTTCATCTGCCTCGTGGTATGTGCAGAGATGCCGGGCATGATCGGAGGGTATAGGCTGCTTTGCAAGTCTACCAGTTCCTAATCTAAGATCCCCGGAATTCTAAGTCATTGACGAATAGGCCTGTGGCATGCTGTACAAACCGGTGAGCCGTTCACGATACAGGGAACCTCGAATGGGAGCTCCTGTTGCATCTGAGCAAGGGCAGCTTCGAGACCCTTACGCTCTGCTGATCCTGCAGCATAGCTTCGCTGCCGACATGGTTCAGAAGGAGTGACTCGTGAAGTTCACATAGACTCACCATAGGTTCATTTTCGACTGCAGGCACCTTGAATGCGGCCAGTTGTGGTGTAGACATCTTGTAGACGAAGTCGTTGAGATAAGTAGATCCGGGAGAGCTCCCCACAGTGCCCAGGCCTTTAATTTTAGGCCAAGCAGATGATTACGGCATTTTCCCCACAATACGGATAGCCGCCGGTGTCAGCTGTGCAGCGCAAGTCCACACCAGTCCTGAGCGCGCTACGCTCTTGCCAAAGCCTCGAATCCGAACCTCAAGTGTTCGCTTAATCAGTGGTTGAACTTGACGCTGTATGATATGATTGGCGGAGATTACTTACACGTCCGTCGGACCGTGATATTGGTGATCAACTTAATATTATCAACCGAGATCTGCATCTGTAAGTGACCGGCCGTTTAATCATCTACATATCATGATGCATAGTTGTAAGTGATATCCATGTACAGCTATTCATACAAGTTCAACTAAGTGTAGTACATAGGGTATACATGGCGTGGGACCTGGCAAGGTTAGATCTAGGAGTGTATCGTTACAATGTGTACTGTAATGGCAATATGGGACTGTAAACAAGTTCAAGAAAGAGTGGTGGCGAGTCAATGTCGCGGGAGTAAAGTACTAAGGATATTAACGTGGAATGACTCATGTCAAGAAAGTCCCCAAGAAGTCCTAGATGATATGATAATGGTAATGTCGTGATAGTCATGAAGAATGATCATATGGTACAAGGAAGCTCGTCGATCTGCCGCTTGAGATCTGACAAGAACTGATGTGAGTCCAGAATGCTACTTGCACATCGCGCGCATCCTGATGCCTCAGCGGCCCGTGCAAGGAATGGCATGCTGAAGATAACGTCTGTGGTTGGTCGTGTCTCTAGGTCTGCTCTTGCCATTCTTTCAAACTCCTTCCACCATTTTGGCGGTACAAACGCCCCATAATACGGCCCTGAGCACTGTAAGCACTTCACGTCTTCTGGGATCTTGAGGAGCGCTTGGGCATCCTTCGAGCGTTTCTTGTGCAAGACGAGGAGGCGATGGTAAGAGTGGGCTGTGATGAAGCGGAGGTCATCCGACAATGGACAGTCAAGGATGTTGATGGAAAGCGTGTGTTGTGACCCAACCTGAGCTTCATACTCGAAGTCGTAACGGCTCGCGATTGCAAACACTCGCACAGGATCGTCTCTCAAATACGCGGGGGAGATAAGCTGCTTGCGAAGAGAGGAGATCACTCCGAGGAAGTCGTATTTGACTGCGACTCCGAGAATAGTGCTGAGCTCGTCAAGGGATGTAATGGTGGGATGGGGTATGGGATACACGAAACACAGAAGCGTGTGAACAGTTGAGCCAGATTCTGACACGGGGATCACAGGACGACGTTCCTCGTTTGCTGGATCGTCAGGGGGCTGTGGCAACGCAAACATATGTTCAAAGAATGGAGAAGCGGCCGCTAGTATACAACGGTGAACGCAGAATTTGACATCGTCACTCGAGAGCAGGAGCATATCAGAGCCGGGAGCGTAGAAATCATTGTGTGAGTGTGTCATCAGGGAAAAGCCAAAAGAGAGACAGAGAGTCCCAGTTCTCATTGGGTAACTGTGGGCTTATAACTTAGCTTGCGGCACAGCAATGGTGGAGATTATATTTCAGACTGGTGGGCTGCCATATAGGGGCAAATCATTTTGGCACCCAAAGCACAATGGGTAGACACATACAGGCACGGTGGTTGGTTTCAGATCCGCCACTAGTGGCGAGTCCGACGATCACGAGAATGTCTATCTCTGCTGCGGCGCCGGTCTCCAGATCTGTTGCGTGGCACAGGAGAGAGGGAGCGTCGGCGCTTATCCCGAGGGTTTTCCCTGTCTCGATCATGTCTGCTCCGCTTCGATGTTCCTCTGTCATCTGGGACTTCGAACACCATTCCATAGCCTTCTCTGCCTTCACTTCTTCCAGCCGCCCGGTATCGTCGAGTTTCTTCCAAGTCTTCACGACCGCCGAACCCACCCCTTTCTTTGCTATGCAGTCCCACTTTGGGGTTATTGGACCAGGAAGTATTGAGCCGTGCCACAGACTGCGAGCTGCGTAGAATGAGGTAAGACAATTGTCAATGAAGTGGTTTCGCACGTACAAATCTACCCAAATGCGTCGATCATCCACTAATACATTTTGCATCTTAAAATAGGCCTGACAGGTCTTTGAGTCATGTCTCACAATGCAGACGTTGTGCACCACGAACCTGTTCTGCATCGTCTCTTTTATCAAATTCTATGAAAGCGTATTGCAACGAGTCGCCCGTTTTCTTGTCCCTAATGACTTGGCAGCTCATAATGGTGCCGAATCTCGAAAAGATGAGTTCCAAGTCTTCGTCTCGTGTGACAGGGTTGAGTTTGCACACGAAAAGAACGTTTTCTGGAGGCCGGACGTTGGCAAAAGGCAGATCACCAACCATTTCCAGCGTTAGAGCAGAGGCTGCTGCGGCCTTTTCGCGGCGTATACGCTCCTCTTCCTCATCTGGAAGAGTGGCAAGTGGGTCTTCATCTTCCGCAATCCTAGTAGAATTATCTGGGGGGCGAGTTGGAGACGACGGAGGTTGAATTAGGCTGGGCGGATCAGGGAATGGGTCATCTATGAACGACAATCAGCACATGAAGACGTCACGGTCCACCTAGGTGCAAACGCACCGAGAATAACGACGTGTCTTATCCGCACATCCTTGAATGGTCTCCCATCTTGATCCGTGAAGACGTCATTCAGCTTGTCCAGCGTTTCCAATCCTTCTACGACGTGACCAAAAACAGCATGTTTCCCGTCGAGATAGTCGATGTTGTCTGCAAGTGTGATGAAGAATTGGCTGCCGCAACCGCCTTTCTCGCCGTTCACAGAGGGTGCTACAGCCATGGACACTGTGCCTTTATGGGTGTGCTTCAACTTTGGCACGATTTCTGGGGCAAAATACCGGGCGGTTGTGGCATCCTTCTCCTCCTGCGAGGCAACGTAGGACCATATCGATTCTCCACCTGTTCCCGTGGCAGTGGGGTCACCAGCCTGGGCCAGAAAGTCTTTGGACACTACATATTGTTATTTAAGGCAAAGGTACCAATGAACAGAGAATTACGCACCGTTGAAGAATGCATTCAAATTATAGTAATACACCTTACAAAGCTTCAAAAAGTTCTCGCATGTTCTCGGACACTGTTCCACCTCAAGGTCGATGACGAGGTCGCCTAGAGAAGTTTCGAACAGGACGGACATGGTGGAAGTCCGGTAGTTCCAAGTGTTGTACTGATAATGGGCAATCTTGTCACGTCTTCGGCATATAGCACATGCACATTCCCTTGTTTCAACGGCCGCCTGGCGAAATGGCATCGCGTCTGACTACGATTACGTGATCAGGAGATTGCAGGTTCGACCCCTGCGGTGGTCATGTGTTTGAAGCTTTTTGCTGCCACCTATCAGGTTGTTCCGACATGATGACTTTTCTACAGCGAATGGCAGGAGTAACATGCAATTTTTACCTTATAAGTATCATAGTCCACATGCTTTTGCAATAGTTATGGTGTATCAATTCACCTGACAACGATCACTGGCGTGGCTTAGAACTACGCCCAGACTCTATGGGAAGTACTAATTCAAATTTTTTCACCACTTGAATCTTCATCCATAGATATCGGTTCGCGCATCATGAAATCAGCACATTTGCCAGGTGCCTCGTGTTCCGGAACACGTTAACCATCGCAGATCATGATGGTCACACCCCTGGAAGACTGCACATGGCCTCCCAGATCTTCTTGAACCTTGATCACGGGAAGTGGTCATCGAAGTAGAAGTATCAGGCTACTGGAGGCAGGAGAGCAATCAGACAACGCTGATGGCCCCGAACACATTAATGGTGTGATGATGGTACAAAAAACAAACGATGACATGCGATGAGATATGCAATACTTGTATGCCTATAAAGTACCGGGACGAACGCAAGACAGAAAAAGGTATGTGCTGTACAAGGTCGCGTATGCAGTCCGGAGTATACACAAAAACTGGAAACACATCATTGCTGTTGGTTCTGTCCTCCGGGTTGACCTCCGAAGACGAATGTGTTGCTTCCAGTCCCGGTCCCACTGGTCCCACTACCGAAACCAAACGCACTGGGCGTAGGTGCCGACGGCTTGCCAAACACCGATTGCGCTTGCGTGGGTCCATTTGAAGTACCCGAAGGTTGACCGAACACAGAAGCACCGAATGCAAACGTGGGCGTCGATGACGCAGGCGCAGTAGAAGCATTGGTACTGAAGGAAGTAGGAGCTGTGGTATCTTCCTTCTTCCCAAACGAAAAGCCAGAAGTGGTATTGCTTGATGGAGAAGCAAATAGTGACGGCTTCGCGCTATCTGCAGGTTTGGTTGACCCATTACCGAACGCGAATGTGTTTGATTGGGTACTGCCAAATACAACAGGAGATCCGGCAGGAGTTGTGGAGAATGGACTGCTCGACGTGGCATTGCCAAATACACTCTTGGGAGTCGATGTAGACGCGCTTGCTTCACCACTGGGTTGTGGAGCACTGGACTTCTCAAAGATATTGCTTGAGACGCTGTTTGCATTTGCACCAAAACCGGAACCACCGAAGACTACAGGTGTAGAAGCGCTAGCCTTGCTTCCATCATCCTTGGTAGCATTTGGGGCGCCAAAAATTGACAATGGCGCGTCCATCTTCTTCGCATCACCGCTCGACGCAGCTGTAGGAAAGGCAGACGTTCCCGATGGTGCTCCAAAGCTCGGCGTTGACTTGGGTGCCGAGGCAGCACCTGTAAAGCCAAATGCTGAGCCACCGAATGAAAACTTGGGCGTCTCAGTCTCTGCTGCTTTGGGCTTGGGCGCTTCCGAGGTCTCGGCAGGTTTGGGTGCGGCGGTGGCATTGCTAACAGAACCAAATACTGATGTCGATGTGGGCTGACCGAACGGCAACTTCTGCGGTGAACTCGCTCCCAAGGGACTAGCTTGGGGAGTAGTCGACGAGAACGCGAATAAAGGGCCAGTCTGTTTTGCAGCGTCGACAGCAGGTGGGGTAGAGGAAGATATAGTAGCAGGCTTGGAGGTCGTGCTAGCAGGCTTCTTGCCAAAGTCGAACTTCAGTGGGGCAGGTGCGGACGGAGCAGAAGCTGGGGCAGCGGTGCTGGAGGGTGCCCCAAATATCGACGGTGTGATAGCGGTGCTTGAGGTTGCCCCAAATATCGACGGTGGGTTGGCTTGTGCCGATGTAGAAGTTGAAGCCGAGGGAAGTAATATACTGGGTTTGGCGAAGGGGAATGGCGTCGGTTTGCTAGTTTCCGTGCTCGGTGCGGCAGGTGCAGAGAAGGGGTTGGTGGATGCGGGAGCAGGTACAGCGAACAGCGGCTGTGCAGGCGTGGGACCAAAAGAAAATGAAGGAACTGTTGGAGGTGTGGTTGTTGCAGGTGCAGGTGCAGGTGCAGGTGCAGGTGCAGGTGCAGGTGCAGGTGTCGAGGGTGGGACTGGCTTGGCGAAGAAGTTGGGTATAGAGGGCGCGGATGCTGTGGTAGGTGCGGTGGTGGCAGTAGGAGGTTGTGTCATGGATGGGCCAAACGAGGACGCAGGCGCTGCGGGGGCTATTTGTGGAGTAGACGAGGTAGAGAATAGGCTGAGTTTGTTGGTAGCTGGAGCTGAGGCCGCAGGCGTAACACTTGCCGGTGTGGGAGACACAGCAGGAGCAGGGGTCTTTGAGGCGTCCGTGCTCGTCGAGGTAGTACCAAATGGAAATAATGGTGTCGGCTTTGTCTCAGTAACGGAAGATGTGGATGCAGCAGGGGGTGGCGGGGTGAATGTGATAATGGGCACAGCCGGAGCTTTAGGGCCTAGCTCAGGCGCCGTGGCGCTGGTCGGAAGCTCAAAGGCCTTTGATTGTGAAATTTCTCCTTTCTTCTGCTCCAGCATCCGTGCACGCATTCTCGCCATCGCCTCAGCCTCAAGATCCTGCTTCTCCCATTTTGAGAACGCACGGAACCCGGGACGAGATGGACCCTCGGCCACACCAGGAATTAATGGTGGAGTATGGATATTCGAAGAAGCAACACGTCGGCCGGTCGTAGCCTGGGCCAAAGGTTGTTTGAATGGGTTCACCCGGGCTGAGCCATTGGTTAATGACTGGCGGAAGGCACGACCAGAAACGGGGCTGTTCTTCATCGAATCCCAGAGCAGATCCTTGCCCGTCTTTGTTGGTGATGCAGGAACTTCACCGGGGGTGCTAGGCTCAATCGAGGCTCTGGGCGTCTCCTGCCACACAAGATCCTGCCGTTCCTCAGCGTCCTTGTATTGTTCATCTGTCAGCCAAGTTTCCACGTAGATCTCCATATTAGCCTCTCGATCTGGGTGCTGAGAATCCCTGGGCTGTCTTTCGGTTAGCTCTACACGCACATGGACAAAGGGCTCGGGACCTACCATTGAATATTTGCTCCGAGCCTTTTTCACCAAAGTGAGACGAAGCCGCTCGCCTTCATTCCCGACCTTGTAATGAACACCATTTGATTCCCATTCCTCACCAATCTTTCTACCTTTGCAGAGGGGATCCTGCGAACCGTCTAGAGCATCGCTAGCTGCCACGGAAGAAGCAGCTTTCTTGCCACCTTTCTTCTTCTTGGGGGTGCGCTCACTGTGTTTATGAGAACCTCCAATACTGCCCTCGCTTGCTGGAGAATCAGGATCACGGTCTCGCTTCCTGCCGCGAGAAGAAACATCTGATTTTCTTGGCCGAACCGTGCGACGCTTGCGATGACGGTGAGACCTGTCATCTTGATCATCTAGTGCCTCCTCTTCATCATCACCGCCGAACGTCGAGCCTGCCTCAGCACGATCACGCTTCTTCCCGCGAGGAATTGGGTGCAACTCAGCCACATCGTCCTCGATATCTTCCATTTCCTGGTCTTCAGGTGTTTGAGCCCGCGACATATTCCGAGGGCGCTTGTCGCGACCATCGGTGCGCATATAATCAGCTTCCTCATCCGAATCAAATGTCCGTTTGGATCCCCGTTGAGCAGGCTCTAACTCGTCCTCTTCCTCAAGCAACTCCAGTTCCTCATCGTCTTCAATGAAGTCATCGCTACCAACACGAGACTTCTTTGATGTTTCAGGTTCATGATTGCCCTCATGATCAAAAGCTCGTTTCTTGCCTTCCACTGCCACATTCATGTCGAAAACGAGATTCTTTCTGCTAGCACGACGATAGGAATAACGTTTCCCAGGCGTTAGGGACTCGCCCGAGAGAGGAAGGGCGCCATCCCGAAGGCGGGGATTATATCGGTGGGCAAAGTCGAATCCATTAGGCTTGTGATCAAAGCCAGATATGGTGCGCCTTGTGGCAGGAAGTTGATTAACATGTGGCTTCGCAGCTATATGCCGATCAGATCGAGACGCCTAATCACGAGAAAGTTCCACACACCAGGTTCGGCCGCCCTTCGCCTCAATCCATGCGCGTCTGACAACGGAACCTGATTATTTATCGCCGGGGGGTCTTCCGTGACGTTATTAGCCTGTAGTCTGTCCTGAGCCTCACGTTCAGCGCGCGCCCGGGTGGCCGCAGCATATGCTACAGCAAAGGGACGACAGTCCGAGTCTGGGATTCCATGTTTGCGACGCATCGCTCTGGTTGTCATAGGTGTCATGAGCAGAGGCCAACGAAAGGTAAGAAGAATGACGTACTTTCTGTAGCCCAATTCCTGATTTTTTTTCCATATGTCCCAGGCGCGTACTGAGATGAGCGATACCAATAGGCCAAGTACTAGTATGAGACTAGCCCTGAGTAGAATCGAGTACTGGGACCATTGACCCAGAATACCAGTATTCGGTATCTGCAAGATGGGGCCGCCGAGAATGTCAGCGTGCTCGTCGTCGTAAGCCATGGTACGACGTCTTGCGGGAGTGTTGAAGGAGCGGACAAGAAAGGGTCCCACACTCCTCGGCACGGCCCGAGTGCGGAGTGTATCGGAGATCAAAAATTTGCTTTTGCCGTTAAAAATTTTTGTCACCTGATAACGAAACTTGTTTCGCTGTCCAGTGTCCAAATTTTACTTCCTCGTCTCAGGTGCCAGCTGAGCGACAGCGCCACAACAGTTTTCGTCGACAAGCTCACCGCCAACGTCTTTCTCGTTCCTAATTGTATTCGCAGACGATTCCGACCGTGGTTTACGCCAGATCATACTTGAAGTGATTTGGTATAGACTAAGATCGACTTTTCTTTCTTGTGCGACCCCCACTCGCCAATGCCTAGGGACATGGCTCACAGTGCTTTCGTCCCTATACTGATGATGTGGAAGATCTAGCTATTAAAGCGTGCTTGGTCCACGCTTGAATGTCCATCTGTCTGTGCAGTAACTACTGTGGTCATTCGAGTACTAAACCGATGCGGATATACCTTCTAC